AGTAAATAAAATAAAATAAATAAAGTAAATAAAATAAATAAAATAAAATAAATAAAATAAAATAAATGAAATAAATGAAATGAAATAAATGAAATAAATACAATAATTAAAATAAATAATTTGTGGTCGTAAGATGAGGACTCTCCGTACCTATAACAAATACTGTAACGTCTATGGAGATCCAGGTCGTGGTTGTCCCATAAGGGCTTTTTTCAGGAGGCAACTGGACTTTCTGGTTTTTCTTTGAAGACATTTCCCTTCTCATCCAAGAAGCTTCTTCAACTCTGACTGAATGGTGGGCAACAGAAGGATTTGCATTCCTTTGCAGACACCTGGTCATTTGCATCCTTTTAGAGGGTCGCTGAGGCCACTTGGAGGTTTAATCTGTTATCTCAGAGTCACCTGAGTGATGCTAATGGGTGTGGAGCCTTTTTGGAACTGTTGAAAGGACCCTGTTGTAGATTGGAGATAGACGACGTCGTATCCCTCCCCCGCTGTTGAGGGAGGGCCGTTCAGTTTGGACAACAGGTGGCCTCTTTGACCCCTTTCAAACCTGAGGTCCTCTCTGTCCAAAATGGGGGCTTTTGTTGTCTTCAAAAGAGCGCCCTTTGTCTTTTAAATGCAGATAGAAGTGCTGAATCTAATCCTGACGGGTTTGTTCTCCTATGTTTGTGTAGCGGCTGTTTGGTTTCTCCAACATACAGATCTGTCCTTTCCCCAGTTCCAAGAAGGCTGCCCACCCATTTGCACCACTCAGATGACCCTGAGGGCACAGCGATAAACCTCCAAGTGGCCTCAAGGACCCTCTCAAAGGATGCAAACGACCAGCTGTGTCTGCAAGGAGCATAAATCCTTCCATTCCCCACCCTCCAGTCAGAGTGGAAGAAGCTTCTCGGAGGAGAAGTGAAATGTCTTCAAAAAGAAATAACCAGAAAGTCCAGTCGCCTTTTGAAATAAAAATAGCACGTTTGGGAAATACCGTAATCCTTTGCTCGCACTTGACGGGCGGCCATCTTGCGATTTTTGACAGAGAGGGAGGCGGAAGAGAAGCTCTCTTACCAGATAATAAATAGAGAGGACTCCTTGCCCGGGTTCAATCAGCCCGTCTTTGAGAAGAACCCGTAGTGTGATTCCTCGGCGGGTGAGGAGGCCACAGCTGCGTCCACCCGGCACGGTTTTCCCCACGCTGTCCTGCTCGGGGTCTTCCAAGCTGGTCTCCAGCTCTTCCTCATCTTCTTCCAGACATTCGTCCCCAGCCAGCGATTCCACGTCCATCCCTGGAATGGAGGCAGGAAACGAAATCAGAAGATGGAGATCTCACTCCATCTTCGTTTCATCCTTCTTCTGAGGAGGATCAGGAAAACCTTTGCCAATGATGCTAAGCTGGCAGGAAGAGCCAACGCCCAAGAAGATAGGCTCAAGATCCAGAGGGATCTCGACAGACTCGAACCCTGGGCCCCATCTAAATAAATAAAATTCAGTGGAGAGAAAAGGAAAGTCCTACACTTAGGCAAGACAAACCAAAAGGACACATATAGACTGGGTGAAACCAGGCTCAATAGCAGGAACTGTGAGAGTGATCTTGGAGTCTTAGTGGGACAACCAGCTAAATAGGAGCCAGCCATGTGCAGCCGCCGCCAAAAAAGCCAATGTGATCCTAAGTTGCATTAACAGAAGGATACAATCGAGATCAAGGGAGGCACTAATACCACTCTATAAAGCCTTAGTAAGGCAGATAATAGCTAATTAATGATAGATAGTTAGGTAGATTAGAGAGAAAAGGATAGATGGATGGATGGATGGATGGATGAAGATGGATAGATAGATCAGAGATAGATACTGATAGGATAGGATAGGAAGGTAGGATAGGATAGGATAGGATAGGATAGACTAGACTAGACTAGACTAGAATAATAGAATAGAATAGAATAAAATAGAATGGAATGGAATGGAATGGAATAGAAAAGAATGGAATAGAATAGAATAATAACAGAATAGAATGGAATGGAATGGAATGGAATAGAAAAGAATGGAATAGAATAGAATAATAACAGAATAGAATAGAATAGAACAGAACGGAACGGAACGGAACGGAATGGAATAGAAAAGAATGGAATAGAATGGAATGGAACGGAACGGAACGGAACAGAACAGAACAGAACAGAACAGAACAGAACAGAACAGAACAGAACAGAACAGAACAGAATAGAATAGAATAGAATAGAAGGAAGGGACCTTGGAGGTCTTCTAGTCCAACCCCCTGCTCAGGCAAGAAACCCTACACCAATTCAGACAAATGGTTATCTAAGATCTTCTTAAAGATATATAGATATTAATAGATATAAATAGATGATAGACAGACAGACAGACAAAGATGGATGATAGAGAGGGAGAGAGAGAAATAATTAAAAAAGAGAAAGGGAGAGAGAGAATATATATATATATAGAGAGAGAGATCACCTTTGTGGAGGGCGCCTTTAAATCTTCATTATTGATATGAGTTGAACAAAAATTAAGAGCTAGACTAGAGAATGACAGAAGATCCCCCCCCCCCC